CGGCTCCCCGCTCCCCCAGCCCCGCGGCTCCCGGCTCCCCAGTTCCCCGGCTCCGGCCGCCCACCTTGCTCAGCTGCTGCTGGATCAGCTGCTTCAGCTCGGAAGCTTTCTCTGGAGGCAGCGACATAACGGCGGCCGCCCTCGCCGCCAGGCGCCTCGGCCCACCGCAGCGTCGGTCGCACAGGCGCGGGGCTCCCGGGGGATCGAGCCGCGTCAGCGCAGCTGGGCGGGAACGGGCCGCCGGGGCGCCAACTGTTTTCGAACGAGCGGCCGCGGAGGTCCCGGGCTGCCCCTGCGCCGCCTGAGCGTGCCGCCAGTTGCTCACGCCGTACACCACAGCTTCCCGCCCGCGCACCGGCGGGCTGTGGGTCAACCCTGGAAAGGCGCCGGGGCAGTGAAAGGACCCCGCGCCGCGCGGCATTGTGGGACGCGGCGCGTGCGTCGTCCTCGCGGCCCTCGTCCGCCCAGCGGCAGGGCAGCTTCCCCGTCCCTGCCGTGACCATGTTCGTTCCTTGCGGGGAGGCCGAGCCCGACCTCTCAGGCTGCACCCTGCTGCTGGTGAGTCCGCTCGATTCTGCGCCCGGCGGACGTCTCGCGGGGCGGCGGGGCCCTGGGGAGCACGGGAGGGAAAGTGTTGCTGGAGGTGGCGGGATAGCTACCTACAACCTTGGTCAACGCTGTAAAAACGTACCGCACGATGCCTGCAAAACCTAGCGCATCCTCAGGTGGATATTGGGCTGGGGGATCCCTATGTTTTAGCCTTGAAAATTATTTTTCGATAGCTTTAGAGTCGACGCCAAGGTAGCACACCGTTGTCATTAGAGAACATAAAAGTAACTTTCTGCAGCGCTGTTGCAGTTATCCGTATTCGGTCATTGCTTCAGTGAATGTTTTACTATGTGAGAAGAGTAGATGCTTGTCGTAAAACTTTGCGGTGCTGTTGGAAACGCATGTAATCAATAACAGCAGTAAATATTAACAGAAGCTAGACTACAGAAAGGCCCAAGGGTGATTATGATTAAGGAAGTGAGCTTTGAGGATCGCGGGTGTCTAAAGCAAAGGCACAAGAGACGGGGCACCTGGAGGCTGCACAGTTGGGAAAAACACATTGCGCACAATGTGCACAAAGAAGAGTGATGTGGAACCAGAGAGACAGAATCGTGGTTTTATTCATTAAATATCAAGCAGATAGGAAGGGTCTGTTTGGATTTAGTGAGATGTAGGTTAGTAGTGGTTACCTAGGAGTAAGTGGAGTGATGGAGAAAGAAACCATATTGGAGTGAATTGAATAAGTGAGAGGAAGTAGAGAGGGGGATTTCATTCAGAAATAAAATTCTAGTTTCTGCTTCAGTAAAAACTGTTGGAGAGTTTTGGCTCTTTAGGAGAAGGAGAGATGAGATGGTACTTAGGAAAGTTTGTTTGTTTGTTTGTTTGTTTGTTTGTTTTGAGAAAGGGTCTCACTATGACGTTCAGGGTAGCCTCCAACTCAGTAAAACTCACAGTGATACTCTTGAATCAGCCTCCTGAGTGCTGAGATTACAGATGTGCACCACCATGGCTAACAAGGGAAGATTGTTTTAGATTGAAAGATGTTTATGTGCTGATGGGCGTAATCTAATAGAACAAGAGAAATGATACAGATGAGTCTAGCTAGCAACATCTTTGAGGAGGGAATTACTGCAGCTAGCCAGGGCTTTGGTAGATGAAAACTGAGAAGTGAGAGTGTGCCCTGGTCACACTTGAAGGTCAGTACAGGACAGTTGCTGGAAAAATGCAAAGAAGCTCTTGAAAAGATACTTTGGAGGAAAGTCAGTAAAACTTGGTGTACCTAGATATAGTTGGCAAAAGAAAGGGAATACGTTTAGGTAGTAATGAAATAAATAGGAAAACAAGTTTGGGAAAAGTTTAATTTTGTACATACTCAACTTGAGTTTGAGTTGCCTGTGACATAACTGGATATATCCAGTGGGCTCTGCAGCTCAGGATTGTAGGACGTAGATAGGTACTTGGCATTTTGGTTATATTTTTGGTTATTGAGAGAAAGATTAATGTAGGAAAGGTGTTACTCCAACCTCTGGGGGTGGGGCAGCACTTCACAAAAGGAAGACCAGCGGTGCTTATGTTGATACCTCACAGCCTTTGTAGTGGCTTTTCCACTTCCTGGAGTATTGAGTTCTCTCTGACTGTCTTTACTCCTTCAGATCTGTAGTTGTGACTTGGAAGTAAGGTTTCCTGGATCACCTTATAAGGAACCACAGACACGCGTATGCTCACAGTCATTGTATTTCTCCTCATAGCCACTGTATTTCTTACTGCTGATTTTATTCCAGGTAAACTACTTCCTTGTTAGGTTGGAGACTCCACCGGGGCAGAAATTTTTGTTAGTTTATTTGAATGTATGAAAGTGTCGCTAACTAGCTATATTCCTGAACACAGGCGCTCAGGACTCTTGCAATAATTATTGTCTAATGTCTGAATTTTTTTATTATTGTTTACCTTTTGATTACTGTCATCAGTGTACATTTGTTAAAGTGCCACTAATTTGCTACTTTATTGAATGTATCTTTTCTATATTTCAGCCAGCAGTATCTGTTGGAAATGTTGGCCAACTTGCAATAGATCTGATTATTTCTACACTGAACATGTCTAAGATCGGTTACTTCTATACTGATTGTCTGGTACCAATGGTTGGAAATAATCCATATGCAACAGCAGAAGAGAATTCAACAGAACTCAGTATAAATACTGAAGGTATGCTTTAGCAAGGTTGTTTTTTTTTTCCCCCGGAACCGAGGATTGAACTCAGGCCCTTTTGCTTGCCAGGGAAGCACTTGTTCCACTGAGCCATCTCCCTGGCCCATGCTTTAGCAAGTTTTGGTCTATTACAAAGTAGAGTTCTTTTAAAATACAAATAACCTCTAAGGGCCAGGGAGATGGCTCAGTAGAATAAGCACTTGCCTGGCAAGCACAAGGGCCTGAATTCAATCCCCAGTTCTGCCAAAAAAAAAAGAAAGAAAGAGCCTCTAAGCCAGGCACAGTGATGCACACTTATGGTCCCAACTGTAAGATGATGAAGTAGAAGGCTCACATGAAGCTACAATAGGAGTTCAAGGCCCATGTGAGCAATATAGGAGACCCTATCCTCAAAACAAAGGAAGAGGGCAAGGAGATAGCTCGGCAGTCTTAAGAGCTGGCCTGGCAAGCACAAGGACCCTGGCTTGATCCCTGGTACCACATGTCATGCTGGCCTCACACAGAGTCAGCCACCAAAACTGGGTGTGGTGGTGCACACCTGTAATCCCAGCACTGGGGAAGCCAAGACAGGAGGATCACTGCGAGGCTGAGCTGTGTAGCGAGACTCTGTACCAAATAAAGATTAAAAATAATAATTTTTAAAAGAACCCATGAGTGTCTTTTTTGGGGGGTGGGGCTGGTCCGGGGATCAGATTTGGGACCTCGTGCTTGCCACTCAGGTGCTTATGCTTCGGAGCTATCCTCCCAACCCTCCATGAGCGCTGTTTCCTGGCTCACATTTCCTTAGTCCTGGCTCTGTGTAGAGCTCACAGCCCATCACCTTGTCCTTTTTATACCCATGGGTCAGTTATTATGACCCTCCAGTGATGGCTCCTAGAGGGTTTGAAAACTTATATCTGTGGCTAGAATTCAATTTAAATACTTTCAACATTCATCCACCATTTTTTCCCTCTTATTCTCAGTTTCATTTTCTGTTCTTACTCGCATGTATAACTGTCACTGATACTACAGGTAAAGGAAAAGAAAATCCCACTGGGCTCAGGTCCTATATGTTTAACACGTGCTACTTCATATAAGACACCTAGATTTGCTGTTGAGTTATTAAAGAATCCATAACAATACAGTAAAGATAAGCCTCAGAGAGAGTGAGTTTCCTGGTGCCTCTTGTGGGTGTAAGCTTTTCCCGTGCTGCAGAATGCCGTGTGTCTCCCTCAGACCCTGAGGCGTGGCTAACCAGTGCACACAGCTCTGTTGCCTTGACCTCTGCATGTGCTATGGAACGGTCCCGAGTGAGTAGGGGAGAAACTCCTGCTGACAGGAAGCAGGGTGCCGCCTGTAACTTCCTCGGTGGCTCACTGCTGTGTTGGCTTTGCTTTTCAAGCATCTGTTTACTATTCAAGATCAAATCCAGAGGCCATTGGTGGGTAAAAGACAAGTGAAGCATTATTTTGTCTGTTTTATTAGCCATGCAATTATTTTTAGCTTGCTTAATGTATGTGATTTTGAGAAATAACCTTACTACTGAAATTCCTGAAATACAGATGGCTTCATTAACATAAGACTAATTGTAAAAGCCCACAAGTGGTAGAACTGGAATATGTATTCATTCCTCTAATGATAAAAGTTATCATTGGGTATTTACTGTGGATTGAAAGCTATGTGCATTTATAGATTCTAATACATTTAAACTTCACACTTCCCCTACAAAGTAGTTTTTCTTCTCACTGTTGGGGATCCAACCTAGAGCCTCGAACATGCTAGGCAGTGCCCTGCCACAGAGCTACATCTTGATGGGAGAAGTGCGGCATGGAGAAATTAAGTTGCTCAAGGTTGTGTGATTGGTAATTGGTATCAGTGAAACCCTAGTCGAGGCAGTCTAGCCCCAGAGACTTGTCTGTTCATACCTCCCTCAAGCAGACCCAAATTGGGCTTGGTGGTATAATCTCAGCACTCTGGGAGGATGAGGCAGGAAAATGACAAATTTAAGTCCAGCCTTAGCAGCATAGTAACTTCGTGAGACCTTGTCTCAAATTTTAAAGAAAGGGTGGGGATATAGCTCAGTATGAAGGCTCTTTCAGTCCCCAATAACATACACACGCATGTGCACACACATGTAACCCAGTGACTTTCCTTTTATAAACTGGTAGCATATCAGATGTCTGGGTGCAGTTTAATTCCTTTTATTTCCCCAGACTAGGGTGCTTTGTAATCTGTTTATGGTAACCAAAGTTTATCTCTCAGCACAGTGGCCTGTTTGGTCCTGTGTCCTTTAATGACTGTCCTGCCCTTGGCCAGTGCGTGAGCTTCTCATTCATACAGGTGAGGTTGAGCAAGGGGCCCAGCACAGCTCTGTGTGTGCCCTGGTAGGATCTGCTGAAGTGTGAACCTTTCTCCTCAAAGAGACTGCATGCATCTTGACTCATAGAAAAGTTTATACTTTTTCAGGTCTTTCAGAAACTCCTAAAAATACAAATGTACCTAGTCTAGGGGTTTCCTTACATGGCTAACATTCTCCTACACTTTAGTCTGTTTTGTTAATTCTAGCAAATGTTACTGTTCTCAGAAAAGAAGAAGGAAAAATACCTAAGACTAAAACATTTACCCCCACCCCAGTACTAGGGATCGAACTCTGGACCCTGTGCTTGCCAGACAGGCACTTATGCCACTGAGCTATATCTCCCGCCCTAAGTTTAGCTTTCTTAAGGATGGTCTTATTTGTTATAACACTGTTTACAAGGGCGTGTTTCTGGTTTTACAATAAGGTCAGAAGAAAAAGTTTTAAAACCTCAATAGATGGACCTTCCTACGGCGCCCCAGCGAGCCCTGAACTGCAGGGCCAGCGATTCTCTTGCGTTGATCTCTACACACCACCATGACTAGTGAGAAATGATTTTGGTATTCTTTTACAGTCAGCTTTTCAACGAATATATTCTACAGAACAAATCCCACTGGCATGTTTTAGGTTACTTCTTAAGTGTTTTATCTTAAACAGTTGATATTGTGCTTATGTTCTGTATTTTAATTATTAAAAATATTTAGATGCAAAGATTTAATTTGTATCTTTATCATAAAGATTTAACTTGAAAAAGTAATTTTAACTGTCCTATGACTTCATTTCTTTTTGTCTTCATAGTATATTCATTGCCTTCAAGAAAGTTAGTGGCTCTTCAGTTGAGATCTATTTTTATTAAGGTTAGTGTGTTATATTTACCTGTTTGAACTTAAAATATAATGTCAAGAAACAAACTTAAGTACCAGTAGATTTTGCTGTCCTTTTTGCTGTGCTGTATGTGCAGTTAAGAAAGCTCTGGGGGCCGGGGAGATGGCTCAGTAGACTAAGTGCTTGCCTGGCAAGCACGTGGGCCTGAGTTCAATCACTGGTTCCGCCAAAAAAAAAAAGAGCTCTGATTCAGTAGAAAGTAGTCTCTATGATTGCATGGTTATTTAAAAGAATTTGTACTTAAAACATATGTCTGTTACATTCTTGATTCAGGTAGTACTGGTTAAAAAAAGAAACACCACACCAGTAGTCGTCGTGCAAGCAGCATAGACTTGTTGCGTTTGTATTGTACTTCAGGTGGTGGAGCTGCACATCAGTATCCGTATCAGTTCTGAATCCAGCTTTGTCCTCTTCTGCCACACTCGTGTGGTCCCTGGTTCAAAGCCCATTGTACTCACGCTCCCCTCGTACTCTGTTCCACCTTTCAGTGATCCTTTAAGCCCCACTCAGTTGCATCACTGCCTCTTCAGAGGCCTGCACCACCCCCAGCTCACTGAATCCACAGCCCTGCCCTGGACTTGCGAGGCTCACTTGTGCTGTCTGATGTAGCCAGCCCCTGGTCACTATGCGTTGGTTGACTTTTGTGGTACTGGGGATTAAACCCAGGGATTTGCACATGCTAGCCAAGTTGGTGTATCCCTGGCTCTTTTTATTTGTATTTATTTATTTTGAGGACTTGCTGAGTTGTCTAGGCTGGGCTGGAACCTGGCACCTTTCTGCCTTAGCTTTCAGTAGCTGGTGTCACAGGCATGTGCCAGCACACCTCTCCCCTCCTCCCTCCCTCTCTCCCTCCTGCCCGTCCCCCTCACTCCCTCCCTCCCCTTTTTTAATTATTTAATTTTTAAATTCCTTTAGTAGTGCTAGGGTTGGAACCCAGAGCCTGGAACCTTTACTCTACCACTAAGCTACTGTACCTCTTGTAGCTATTTAAGTTTTAATTCATTAATTTAAAATAAATAGGACATCATTTGAGTTTGTTCCAGCTTGCAGCTGCCCTAAATGGTGCTGCCATAATTATTTTTCATGCTTATTTATTTATTTATTTATTTTTTGTGTAACCGGGGATTGAACTCAGGCCCTTGCACTTGCCAGGGAAGCGCTTATTCCACTGAGCCATCTCCCCGGCCCCTTTCATGTTTATTTAGATCATTGCTTTAGTTGTCATATACCCACCCTTTGTACTGAGACTTACTAACATTTTTACATTCTCTCGTGGTTTTATGGTTTTCTCTTGATGAGTGTAAAATTTAAGATAGGCAAGACACATCCTTACAAATTAGATATTGATAGATGAAAGAAAGAACGATTTAAAGAATTTCTAAGATTTATTGAGCATTGATTCTTCACACTAGTGTCATTCTAAGCACTTCAAATGTGGTATTTTACTTGCTCCCTGCAGCAAACCTGAGTTTGGTACTCATATTAATCTCACTTTTCAGTGAGAAAACTGGAACCTAGAAACTCAGAAAGGCCATGCGGTTTGCGGGGGACATGTCGTAGTGTCTGTAGGCAGTAGGGCCCCTTAATCTCTGGAGTGTGCTGCTCTCTTATTTTTAAGAAGTTTCCACTTCTACTTGCACTTTAAATTTTAATGACTATTATTTTTAGCTATCAGGGAAAAATTTTTAAATGGGTTCCCCGAGTTTATAAGCCATGTCCCAGGTTGACCAGTTGTTAACATCTTACCACATGTGCTTGCTCTCTTTCTGCATGTGCAGTTTTCTTCTCCAGGTAGTCCAGAGTGGGCTCCTGATGGGACATTTCGCCCCTCAGCCCTCAGCTGCACTGTCCAAGAACGAGGCCAGGCTGCAGCGCAGTGTGAAGTGCTTGCCCGGCACATGGGAGGCCCTGGTCTCCCTGTCCAGCCCTGCCAAAGGAAAATGAACAGTGTAGTCCGGGAGAGGGACGCTTTCCCGCCCAGCCCCAGCATCACTCCCAGCCCTGAGAATTAGCTATTTGACGTGGAGCTGCGGAGTTCTGTGTACTCGGACACCCATATCGTGCACATGGGGCCTGTTGGTGGTGGACCAGCCCAGGTGCGCATGTCCTCCTGTCACTGGTGCCCCTCTGTGTCGCTGGCTCTGTTCTTGGTGTTCCTCACAGTCTCAGTGCTTTTGGAGAGGGGGGCCAGATGTCCAGCATCCTGCCTTCATCTCCCTCACAGTCCACAGTTTCTGATGAGCACTTCACGGATGATCGAGTGGCGGTCTGTCCCTGGTGTGCACGTGTGTCCCCATGCCCCCCCCCCCCCATCCTGGGAGTGAACCTGGAGCCTTAGGCGTGATATGCGGCCCCTGTAGGACTGAGGCAAATCCTGCCCTTTTTAACTTTTTTTAACACCGAATCTCACTATGCTGTCAAACCCTTGGGGCTTCTCCTGCCTCAGATTCCCAAGAAGATGACAAGTGCTAGCTCTTGGTGGTGATTCACCATAGATAATTAAATTGTGGCTAATGGCAGTTCAGTGACAGTCACTCTTGGGGGCCTGGATTAAATCTCCAGCACTGCACACAAAATTAAATAACAATAGATTACTTAGCAAAGTGGCTTTTCTTGGAGTATTTTGACATCTAGATTCCTCATCATTAGTTTAATTCATAGCTGTAAAGCTGTACCAAGTAATTGCTCTTCATCTTTCAGTTTGAAAACAGAGTGGGTCCGACAGTACAGTACTAATTTAGTGTTTATAGATTACATATCATTATCACAGAAAGTGTACAAAATACTACCGAGAACATTATAAAATCTCACCTTTATATGTTCTTTTTATTCTCAATGGCATACGAAGTACAAATCCACCTCATTCTGTGAAAAACTCCTTTCGTGGGTGAAGAGTAGCAGATTTGCCAGAGTGGTCGTTCTTTCGAGCAGTCACTCATACCAACGGAGCGACCTACAGCTGCGCAGGTATGTGTCGACCTAACTGGGCTTTACGCTACTGGAGCTCACTGTTGAAAAGTTAGATTTTAAAAGTCACAGGTGTCCTTACCTCTACAGTTGGAAGGAGTGAGGCAAGAAGAAAATGGCGTGGGGATCCTTTCATTTCTGTGATATTAGAACAGCTAGACGCAGAGAAGCCTTGGGGCCAGGAAAATGGGCTTTGGAACTATGCTCTGAGGTTTGCTGTCCGTGTGCACAGCATCACAAAGTTCAGCTGATGAAGAGAAAGGAGAAAGAAAGACGCAAGCTTTATGGGCTGGTGGCAGCATGCCTGCATGCATGTGCACAGTGGGGCACAGCTGGGCCTGTACCTGCTGGCCTACCACTGAGTACATGCCTGGACCCAACAGTTGAGAACTTTGGAAAGATTGACTTGATACCAAGTCAATTTCCAGATAAGCAGTCATTTGTATTTGTGACAGGCCAGCTGCCTTCCAGTAAGCACCCTTGTGTGTCATGGTAAATTCTTAAATGTAAGACTTAAAGTATCTTCAAAATAAAATACAAACTTTTAGCAGGGCTGGCCAGATAACTCAGCGGACTAAAACACCAGCTTAGGCAGGCTCGAGGACCCGGGTTTGATCCGAGGTGTGCCATGCCGGCCCCACCCCCTGGGTGTGCTGAGCCAGTGATGGAGCCTGGACGTGGTGGCATGCCCCTGTAACCCCAGCGCTTGGGAGGCTGAAAACAGGAGCATCACTGAGTCTGAGCTGTGTATTGAGACCCTGTAGGCCTTGTACTAAGTTCATTAAAATAAAATACAAACTTTTGCAATATAATTATATTGCCGTTCAGTTCATTTAGATGGTTACGTATCCACCTATCGAATCAGGACGTAAACACAGCTCCTAGTTGCCTTGGGAATAACTGACTGGGAGATGTTTGCTGTCACCTCATATCAGGGGAGGAGGTCGAGGCTGTGGGGCACAGTTCAATCTTCACATCTTTACCTCACCCCAGCCTGTTCTACGTCCCCGCCCCTGCCCTTCCATGTAAACAGCAGACCGGTGTGTGCTGCATGTTACTCTCCCAAGTCTTTTCTATTTATTAGGTACAGGGTCTTGCCACGCAGCTCAGACTCACAGTGATCCTCCTGTCTCAGCCTCCCCAGTGCTACTGGGATTACAGGTTTGCACCATCATGCCCAGTTTCAGTGGCTGGCTCAGCAAGGGGCCAGCACAGCATGTAGTTCCGGGGACAGAATGTGGGTCCTTGCATTTGCCAGGCAGGCACGTACACTGCTGAGCTATCTTCCCGGCCCTTCTCCTAGTCTTCTGACACTTCTATTTTTGCTTTGTGCAGCAGATTATGTGGAGACCAAGGTTAGTTTGAAGCCTGTTATGTTAAGTGTTGCTATTTTAAAGTTTTGGGAAGATAACTCTATGATTGTTTCTAGCACTCCTTTTCGGTACCTACTTACGCCTTGTATGCAAAAGAGTGTTCAGAATAAAATAAAGAGTCTTAACTGGCAAGAAATGGAAAAAACTCCATGCATTCCAGAAGTGAGAGATTCTGATTACTGTGTCCGGATTCCAGGAGGAGGGATCACAAGAGCACTCTACAAAGAGAGGTGCGTTTGCCTTTGTTTCCTGTCCTACTTGCAAAATGATCTTAGCTGGCCATGGTGGCACACCTATAATTCCAGCTTTCTGAAAGCCTCAGACAGGAAGCTCACCAGATCAGGCCCAGCCTGGGTCACTCCCCAACTTAGTGAGACCCTATCAAAATTTTATACTGCTGGGCATGGTGGTGCATGCATGTAATCCCAGCACTCTGGGGGCTGAGGCAGGAGGATTGCCGAAGAGTTCGAGGCGAGCCTGAGCTACCCAGTGAAACCCTATCTCAAAAAAATTATAAAAAGGGGGCTGCAGGTGTAGCTTAGTGCAAAGACCTTGGATTCAGTGCTGAATACCACAAAATAGATAAATTTTTGAATATTATTACTTTTACTGGTACTGGGACCTGGACTCAGGACATAGTGCTTGCCTATCTACCCGGCCTAAATGTTTGAAAATTAAATTGTGGGCCAAGTGTCTCTTGCCTGTAGCACACAGGAGTCTCACTTGTGCTCAAGAGTTTGAGACCAGCCTGGGGAACACAAGCTTAGTTGTCACAGCTTCCACAACTTTTGTCATCATCGTAAGTAGAAGTCTAGGCTGGCCAAGTAACTCAGCAGATTAAAGCACCTGCAAGCAGGCTCAGAGGCCAGGGTTCGATCCCTGGGCCTGCCATGCCGGCCCTGCCCCCTGGGCCTCTGAGAGGGCAACTGAGACTGGGCATGGTGGTGTGCACCTGTAATCCCAGCTCTTGGCAGGCTGTAAACAGGCGGATCACTACGAGTCTGATCTAGAAGTAAGGCCCTGAACACCCTGTAGACCCTGCCCTAAATACAAAAAAAAAAAAAGTAGAAATCTGTACCATCACCTAATCACACTTTATTTCTATAAAATTCCTAGTAATGTTCCCACTTTATTTCTTATTTTACTAATTTGAGCCTTTTTCTCTTTTTGTTCTTAGTCAACCTAACTATAAAGATTTATCAACTTTGTTGCTCATTTTCAAAGAACCAACTTTTGTTTTGACTGATTTTTTCATATTTTGTGTTCTCTCTCCTCTGTTGTTAGACTTCTTTGCCTTTCTGCAGCTTTGTACTATGCTGTTTTTTTCAAGGTGTAACAAGTTATAAACTGGTCCCCTGGAATGACGCAGCCCTGGGCATGTGCTGTAGCACGGCCGGGCTCTTCCTCCGTGCTGTGAGGGTACCCTGAGGGACTTTGAGCTGGCTGCGGGCCAGCTGGAGGGCTGCGAGTGGCTTCTTGGCCCTCATAGGCTGAGACGTGGTGTGAAGGTGCCTGGTTCCCACTCAGCTTTCTGAGCCGCAGTCTCTGAAACCCCGGCCTGTATGCCAGCCCAGCTTCCTTGTGTGGCCGTCGGGCGTGCACACTCACGGTCGGCTTCCATTTTCTTGTGGTTCTCGGCTCCTGTAGGGTTTTAGGAATTAGTTTTGTTTTGTTGGCAAACAAGAAGCTTTCTGCATTGGTTTCTCACCATCCCGCCTGGGCACAAGGCAGACGGTGACAGTGGGGAGATGGTATGGGGCTTGGAGACCTGAACTCAGGTCCACCCCGCCCCGTATGAGCCACGGCGCTCTGAGCGTGTCCACTCCACGAGCACTTGCAGGGTATCGGCGATTGGTCACAGTTTAAGCGAGGGGCATTTGTCAGCTTGTCTTCACCACCTCCCTGCACCCTGTGGGAGAGCTAGAGTCCTGGGGTTCTGTCCATTTTTCATTATTCCAGAGGGATTTCTTTAGGAAATAGCATGGTAGTTTACTCAAGGGCTGTTGTCAGGCTTGAATTGTCAAAGTTTCAGACAGTGCTTATTGGCACATGGTATCTGTAAGAAGAAAATTTTCTTCTCTCTTTTAACTATTCGATTCTATTCCAGATTTCCTTTACTGCTTTTTTCTTTTTTCTTTTTGAGACAGGATCTCCCTTGAAGCCCTGGCAATCCTCCTGCCTCGAGCTCCTGCTTATGGGGATTGCAGGCATGTGCCCCTGTGACCTGCTTGCTTTTCTGCTTTAGGTCATTCATAACCAGGGACTTACTTCCTTTTTGGTAGATTTCTTCAGGTGCACAGAGCAGCAGAAAAACAGGCAGAATGAAAAAGAGAAAGGGGCTTTATCTTCTTTGAGGACATGGAGAGAATGTGGGGAAGGATGAGGAATTCTCTGGATTGGAACAAAGGGACGCTGCGGTGCTTATGGCCTTTTGCCGTGGCTGGAGTGTGGAAGGGACGTTTAGGTACACCTGAGGAGCTGATCGGGGTCTTCCCTGAGGCAGCGGGAAGGGAGGAAGGAAATCATGTCTTGGGCTGAGTTGGAGAAAAGGGGGGAGGTGGTCTTGGAAGATGAGCTTTTGCTTTCAGGGCATCGGCCATATTAGATGACCACCATGATGATTGTAGCAGTGTATACTAGGGCCAGACCTGCAGTTTCCGTCCCTTGACTGTGGTGCTTCTGAAAGTAACTGTCTTCTAAGCGAGGCTTTGCATGGGGGAGGCGCGGGCAGAGCCAGATCTGATTTTTCTGAGTGCCATGGATGCTGCAGTGGGAGAGGTGAATGAGCTCTTCTTGCCTAGAAGCCAGCGGGCCTCCTCCCTGTAGAAATAGTGCAGTTTCCACAGTGAAAGAAAGTGAATTGTCCTCCTGTTTCTTGTAGCTGCTCTAAAGAAATCGCAATGGCGGTGCTGCTGAAGTTTGTTTCTGAAGGGGACAACATCCCAGACGCACTGGGGCTCGTCGAGTATCTTAATGAGTGGCTGCAGATCACCAGACCGCAGGTGAGTTCCACCCCACCGAAGCCTTTGTGGATGGATGAGCTTAGATTTTAGTGACTCTGTAGACCAAGTGAGTGAAAGTTCTCCTGAAATGTAGACGTCGTTACAAAAAATGTAGCTTAAGCTGAATGTCTGACAGCAAGAGACAGCTACTCCATCTGCTCTTGTTCACCAAGGCTGATTTTCCAGAAAGAAAAAACTTGTTTGTTCATTGACCTCGTTCTGGCTGCATTCTTAGGTCAGATGGATTCCGAGAAGCAGGTCTGGGCTAGAGCTGGGAACTGTGGGGCAGAGCCGGGCTGCGCCAGGCGGGGATGCGCAGCGCGCTGAGCTGCAGCGCCCTGGGCTGCTGCGGTGGCGCCCTTGGCCTCCCTTCCGCTCTGGCCCAGAAAGACTGGCTTGTGCTTCCCTCGCAGAGCCCCTCAGTGTCCTTCTGGACTGTCTTTGTGATTTGAACTCAAAGAATTACTTATTTGACATTAGACATAGGAACACACTTATTTCACCTCACAGTAAAATCTGGCCTCAGCGGTGGGGTGCGGCGCTAGTGCGGAGAGTAACCATCTTGTTCTTCGCCTGCAGGGCGGCGGCCCAGCACCGTCCACCTTGGCCTGGAGGATACCAAGTTCTTGGAAATTACTCTTTGGCAATGGTCTTCCCCCTGCACTGTTCTGATCTGTTTTCAGCCACCTGAGATGCTGCAAACACGTACTGTCCAAAAATATATTAGGACATATTTTTGTAGAAAATGTCCCAGAACAGTGTGTGGACAGACCGTCTTTTCCCAAGCCTTTCGTCAGCTACAATGGATGTAAAACTTGTGCAATAAAATTTTATTTCCTAAGTAATTTTATCTGAAACATCCTTTTTTAAAAAAAAAAGCTCTGACTCTTACTAACTTGCTATTTCTGCTAAAATAGATTACCACAAATGTAGCGGCGTAGAACACAGGTTGGCCTTTACCAGCTTGTAGACTCGAGAGGGCCCGCCCGCAGCCCTCGCGTCTCTCCCGGGTGCCCTCGCAAGGTCCTGTGTGACTCCAGCCACCCCGCAGTCCGGACGACTGCTGCTCTCGGAAGGTCGGGGAAACTTTCTGCTGCTTCTGCGCAGCGGCTGCGCCTGCGTGCGCGCTCCCCGAGTCGGCTGTGGCTCAGGTAGCCGAGGGAGCGCAGGCGGCGTAGGAAGGCCCGTGCTCGGCCGGCATCCCATGGAGGTGCTCAGTGCGCTCCCCTCCCGAGCTGGGCCCTACGGGGGTGCAGAGGCCGGGTGCAGAGGCCGTGAGGCCAGCAGGGCAGGCTGCAGGCAGGCCTGGGTCTGAAGTGGAGGCCGGAGGCAGCCCGGCTCGAGCGCAGCAGGAGCCGCCCGCCAGCCACGTCCGACCGCTGCACCCTCTCCGGCCAGCCTTGCAGCTAGTGGCTTTTCTGATGACAGGCTGAGCAGCGTCCGTGGCCTTACAGCCACTGTGGATCTGGATTTTTGGAGCACGTTCTACTGAGATCCTAGACGGAGGAGCCTGGGGCTGCTGCGCAGGTGTGCTTCCTGGAGGCTGCATTCCCCAACCCCTTTTAGATTTTATGATCCAATTTGAGGACAGCCGGGGCCATATGGCTAGAACCAGCGGTGCAGAACCCCAAATTGGGAACTTCCTGCATGTGACTTCATAAGGCATCCAGTTTGGTAGGGCTTATGTTCTTAGCACAGGGTCTCACTGTACAGATGGGACTCAGTGACCCTCCAGTTCTCAGCCTCCCCAGCGCGCAGAGCACCGCCAAGCCCATCTCAGTCTCAGCATGCCCCGGCCGGAAGCCCCGTCTCCCAGCCTGCCTGAGCAGATGCTTTACTCCTTTGAGCTATGTGGCCAGCCCTGGCTCTGCAGGTTTTCAGTAGTCAATCCAGTATCCATCTTTAGTGATCTGTAATTCTTAGAGGATACTCTTACAAAATAACTGTAGTAATAGTAATCATTGAAACATCTTTTTCATAGAAAAGATATTCTAATGTTTACTAGGCTTTTGCAACTTGGTCTTGACAAGTGGAATTGTTTTCTAATTAGAAAAGTAATCCATGCTGCTTATAAAACAAAACAAAATAAAATATAAATGTCTTCCATAATTCATCATGGATTTATATAGTTAGAAACTAGGTGTGATTCTACACATTTTTTCAATACAGATGTAAGCAGATGCATACATTCCCCACCCCAGGAAGTTTTTTTTTACTTCTTGTTAAATTAGTACATGTTTGCAGTTTGCAGTCCTGCGAGGTGAAGGGGGAAGTGCTGGGGTACAAAGATGTAGTTCTCCTCTCCTCCCCTCCTGGCTCACTCCCTCTAAATCTCTTTTTTCCATTTTAATTCTTGTTGATATTATTAATCTTGTATCTATGACATGACGTTTATATTCATTGAAGTTACCAGAACCCTGAACCTTTCATTATGTCTTTCCCACCCCTGTCCACCCCACCGTCTCCAGGACCCCTTGCCATCCGCAGGGGGTCCAGCCCCGTCCCCTTCTCTGTCCCTTATTGTGCTCTTTGACCTTTGTCTTGCTCAAATGAGAGAATCCACACCAGGAGCACTTAAGCTTGTGTCTGACTTGTGTCTTTCAATGCTGTGTATTTCCAGGCGCTCCATTTTCCTACAAGTGTCTCAGATTTTTCTTGTTTACAGCTAGATGGGTATACAGGCTGCTTCCAGAATTTAATTATCAATTGTGCTGCTATAAACATTGGTGTCGGGGCTGGGAAGACAGCTCAGTAGAATAAGCGCTTGCCTGGCAAGTGTAAAATCCTGAGTTCAATCCCTGGTAACACAAAAAAAAAAAAAATTGGTGTCTGTGTCACTATTATATGACGACATTATTACTATATTAGGGTATCCCGGGAATCTTCCTTAGCGGCCCCCTCAGAGCCCATCCCCATGGCTGCCACGCTGACCACTGCTGGCAACACTCGAGTCGTGAAGTGCCTTCCTGGGCCCGTCGGCCACCACCTGCTCCAGGATCCCAGGAGCAGGGCCGCGGGCTATGGCAGGGCATATCAACGATGTATACACCTTTTTATGGAGGCGAGTACCAGGGATCAAACTCAGGACCTTGCGCTTACCTGGCAGGCACTTGTCATTTCGCTATATCCTCCGGCCCTATGCCATTTTAAAAAAAACTTCAAATGCAAATGCTCCCCCACTGGCCTGTTTCTACCAAATATATTTACTTAGTTATGTAGGCTGGCTTTAGGATTGAACCTTGAGCTTCATGCTAAACACAAGCTTAAGCTACTGAGCTACACCTCCAACACCTCAAAATGAATATTAAAAATCTTTTTCTCCTTTTTGTTGGTTTTGATTTGTGGCCATGTGGTTTGTAGAAGTGTATTTAGAGGGGAAAATGATTGCTGATGCTAGCAGGAGTGCTGTTTCCTCTCTCTGGAGAAGATAAAGTACTAAAAAGGTGAGTAGTTTTCTTCTTTTTTTAAATTAAGTATTTGGAACAGGGTGTCACTATGCAGCTCAGTCGCGTAGTGATCCTTCTGTTTTCAACCTCCCCAGGGATTACAGGCACGCACCACACGCCTGGTCTCAAGGATACAAGTTTCCAATAGTCAGTAATTCCACGTAAAATTATACTGACACTAACAATTAAGTTTTGTTGAGCAGACAGACTATGGACATTTGGATACCCCAAAATGTTTTTCCCATAAGTGAATTCTATGTATGAGTATTCTACTATTAATACACTTTATAAATATTTTGAGAGGGGCATCTTTTCTAGGCTGGCCTCAGAATTCCTGGGCTCAGTTGATCCCCTTGTCTCAGCCTCCCAAGTAGCTAGATCTTGTAGAGGTACCACTGTGCCAGCAGCAGTTTGAAGAAATGTCACCACAGTTCCCAAATTTGAGCTCTCTAGGACATGGCATCCTCAGGAGGCTGTGTCCTCACAGTTATGACCAACTTGCACACAGAATGCTCACACACGTGGCTGCCCATGTGTCCCAGTTACGAGAACTTTCCAAAACATTCCAGTGTCAGCACTTCCTGTTCTTCCATCACAGGAAATCTAACAAGATGGGGCTTCCTAAGACTGGGCATGGTGGCGCACACCTGTAATCCCAGCTCTTGGGAGGCTGTAAACCGCTGGATCACTACAAGTCCAATCTAGCAGTGAGACCCTGAACACCCTGTAGACCCTTTCCTTAAAAAAAAAAAAGAGGGCTTCCTGAAAATCTTCACTGACAGTATTGTCAAGCGCACCACAGAACCACCCCGTGCTGTCCAAGGCAAGCAGAGCTGTCAGTGTTGTCTTGGGGAACGTGAGATGGAGAAGCGGACAAGACTCACTGACCACCTATTAGCCTGACTGGCTTCTGCCGGCCTTTCATCGTCCTTTGTCCCACAAAGTCCCTGTCTCCACCTGCTCCTGTCTGTCCTAAATTACTGTGCTAACCTAGTGGACACACCTGTTGGACCAGTTAGCCTGACTCCCAGGTGGCTGGCTGTGCAGCTCAAAGTGGGGGGGTCCAGGAGGCCTGGCCCAAGGAACCTTTTCTCTCAGAGAATCAGCAGATGGGTCCAAGCCCAGCCTGCAATATACAGTGAGACTCTGTCTCGAAAAACCACAACTAATATTCAAAATCTAAAATGGATTCCAACTGAGGCCTGGCTAGTGAATCTCTGGCCCATCTGTGAGGTTAATGTGATACAGCGACCCACATGGAAAACCTGTAGACTGTTGGCCACCACAGAGGTACAGTTCATGTCTTTTAAAAATAGTCTGGAATTTTATTATATACTTAGTTAACAAAAAAGCTTATGGAAAAATACTTAAATGATTTAAGGAAATGTTTATTCAATATTTAATTCTGTGGCTGTGGTTAGGGATGACTTTCCAAATAATTCACCATGTAATCTTAAGTGGAATGTGTATGTGCACAGCAAAAAGATGTGGTTGCAGTTTAGCAGACTCCAGCCCATTTATGAGTGATTTTAAACTTTGCTTATCGGGCGGGGTGTGGTGGTACACACCTGTAATCCCAGCATTCAGGAGGCTGAGGCGGAAGGAGTTCCGGGAGGCTGAGGCCAGCCTGGACTACTACGTATCCAGACCCTACCTCAAAACAAAAGGGAACACTTGGTGAAACAGAGCTGTCCTAAGATAAAGCACACAAACACACGTCTATTTAATAAAAATATTTAATGCTGCCAAAAAGTATAAAAATACAGTAGGAATGGCAGTACAATACAAAGTAGTCACCTTTCTTTCTTTGACATCTTTCTACATGTCACACGCATCAAAACATGCGCAGCAACGCAGCAAGGTCGAGGCTCTGCAAGTCTGCTGCGGGTGGGCTCTTCGTCCCTGATGTGAAGTTTACTCTGTAAACAGACAACCGTGAGGCAAGCAGGGCTGCAGCCTCACTGCAGCTCCGGAGTGGGCTTTGCTCTTGGTCTGCACATCATGGTTCAAAACTTTAGCTGCAGAATATTCGTAAGTCATGAACATTTAGGTGTCTGTCAATCTTGGCCTAAAACATAAAATAAGAAGTCATCTATTCAATCCGCAGTTACCAAAGACACACACTACACAGACCACAAACATGACAGGGCTAACGATGTGCCAGGTGAGCTGCCGGAAGCCGCCTTCCAGCACAGAGGTTCTGGATGCCAGAGAGACACCCGAGGGCCTGGCGCTCACTGGAATCCACAGTGCCAGGGAGACCTGTTACTGGCTTCTCCAGAACGGCTAACCAATTTTTAGGTCACCCTGTTTGGTCCAGAACTGACTTTTCTCTAAGATGCGGACAGATGGATTTAGAAACAATGTGACCACAAGAACCTAGTGAGTGGGCCTGGCAC